TGACTGTGAGAGCCGTTCAGCAGTGGAACTCTCTGCCCCGGAGTGTGGTGGAGGCTCCTTCTTTGGAAGCTTTTAAGCAGAGGCTTGATGGCCATTTGTCAGGGGTGATTTGAATGCAATATTCCTGCTTCTTGGCAGGGGGTTGGACTGGATGGCCCATGAGGTCTCTTCCAACTCTTTGATTCTATGATTCTATGAATACCGGCTAAGCAGTGTAATTTCTCCAGTGGTGTAGGGCGCAAACACCCTGTGATAATGTGGCATGTCTCATTAAGAGCCACATCCACTGTTTTAGTGTGGTGAGATGTGTTCCACACTGGGCATGCATACTCAGCAGCAGAGTAGCATAGCAAGGGCAGATGTCTTCACTGTGTCTGGTTGTGATCCCAGGTTGTGCCAGTCAGCTTTCATATGATATTGTTTCTAGCGCCCACTTTTTGCTTGATATTCAGGCAGTGCTTCTTGTAGGTCAGAGCACGGTCCAGAGTGACTCCCAGGTATTTGGGTGTGCTGCAATGCTCCAGTGGGATTCCTTCCCAGGTAATCCTCAGAGCTCAGGATGCTTGTCTGTTCTTAAGGTGAAAGGCACATGTCTGTGTTTTAGATTACCGCTCAAGCAGGGAGCTTTGAGATGGTTGAACAGAAGCTCTCTGAAGCTCTAGGTGCTCTTACTGCCTATTACAGGGAAAACCAACTAATCCCTAAAATAAGTCCCTGCAAAATGTCCTCAGAAGCACTTTAACTATCCGTTGGGTTGTTCTCCCTATATTTCCTTTAAAACCCTCCTACTAGATACATCCTACCTACCTCTGTTCATGCCCAGCATTTATTTTTTTAAATTTTAAACTTTTACCATAGGTTTTTAAATCCTTGCGTGTTATCGTCTATATGTTGAGTTATATTAATTGTATTGTTTATTTGCTTATTGCTTGCTGTTTTTATTGATGTGTTGTTGGGCTTGGCCTCATGTAAGTCGCTCCGAGTCCCCTTGGGGAGATGGTGGTGGGGTATAAATAAATATATTATTATTATTATTATTCTTATTATTATTATTATTATTTCCTTTTACGTTTATAATAATTGCATGTGCTTGTAGTTATAAAAAGCCACTGGAGAAAGGCTTGAGCTTAGAAACATAACTTTTAGGACTACAACTCCCAGAATCCCCTGACCAGCATGTTTTTGGAGTGGGATAGGGTGAGGAGAAGTGACTGAAAGGTAACTTTTCCAAACTCTGGTCAAGCAGGATAATAATAATAATAATAATAATAATAATAATAATAATAATAATAATAATAATACATCACGGTCATGGTGACAGTCGCATTGAGGAAAAACAACAGGAAAAACTCTGCCGTTATCAGGACCTCAAAATCGAACTGCAAAGGCTCTGGCATAAACCAGTACAGGTGGTCCCAGTGGTCATCGGCACACTGGCTGCCATGCCAAAAGATCTCAGCCGGCATTTGGAAACAATAAACATCAACAAAATCGCGATCTGTCAACTGCAAAATGCCACCTTACTTGGATCTGCACGCATCATTCGAAAATACATCACACAGTCCTAGACGCTTGGGAAGTGTTTGACTTGTGATTTTGTGATACGAAATCCAGCATATAGATCTCGTTTGCTGTGACATACTGTGCTTTTGTGTCAATAATAATACATCACTAGACATCACGATTGTGGAAAAGAAAAAAGTTTGGATGATTGATGTTGCCATACCGGGTGACAGTCGCATTGAAGAAAAACAATAGGAAAAACTCAGCCGTTATCAGAACCTCAAAATTGAACTGCAAAGGCTCTGGCATAAACCAGTACAGGTGGTCCCAGTGGTCATCGGCACACTGGCTGCCATGGCAAAAGATCTCGGCCAGCATTTGGAAACAATAAACATTGGCAAAATCACGATCTGTCAACTGCAAAAAGCCACCTTACTTGGATCTGCACACATCATTAGAAAATAGATCACACAGTCCTAGACGCTTGGGAAGTGTTCGACTTGTGATTTTGTGATACGAAATCCAATATATAGATCTCTTTGCTGTGACAAACTGTGATTTTGTGTCAGTAAAATAATAATAATAATACTTTATTTATAACCCACGCTCTCTCCCCGAGGGGAGTCAGTTGGAAAGAGAGGGGATATCTATCTCATGGGATAATATAGAATCATAGAATCATAGAGTTGGAAGAGACCTCATGTGCCATCCAGTCCAACCCCCTGTCAAGAAGCAGGAATATTGCATTCAAAGCACCCCTGACAGATGGCCATCCATCCTCTGTTTAAAAGCTTCCAAAGAAGGGGCCTCCACCACACTCCGGGGCAGAGAGTTCCACTGCTGAACGGTTCTCACATTCAGGAAGTTCTTCCTCATGTTCAGATGGAATCTCCTTTCTTGTAGTTTGAAGCCATTGTTTCGCGTCCTAGTCTCCAAGGAAGCAAAAACAAGCTTGCTCCCTCCTCCCTGTGGCTTCCTCTCACATATTTATACATGGCTATCATATCTCCTCTCAGCCCTTCTCTTCTTCAGGCTAAACATGTCAAGCTCCTTAAGCTGCTCCTCATAGGGCTTGTTCTCCAGACCCTTGATCATTTTAGTCGCCCTCCTCTGGACACATTCCTCTTGTCAATATCCCTCTTCAAATGTGGTGCCCAGAATTGGACACAACATTCCAGGTGTGGTCTAACCAAGGCGGAATAGAGGGGTAGCATTACTTCCCTAGATCTAGACACTATGCTCCTATTGATGCAGGCCAAAATCCCATTGGCTTTTTTTGCCGCCACATCACATTGTTGGCTCATGTTTGACTTGTTGTCCACGAGGACTCCAAGATCTTTTTCACACGTACTGCTCTCGAGCCAGGCATTGTCCCCCATTCTGTATCTTTGCAATTCATTTTTCCTGCCAAAGTGGAGTATCTTGCATTTGTCACTGTTGAACTTCATTTTGTTTTGGCCCATCTCTCTAATCTGTCAAGATCGTTTTGAATTCTGCTCCTGTCCTCTGGAGTATTGGCTATCCCTCCAATTTGGTGTTGTCTGCAAACTTGATGATCATGCCTTCTAACCCTTCATCTAAGTCATTAATAAAGATGTTGAACAGGACCGGGCCCAGGACGGAACCCTGCGGCACTCCACTTGTCACTTCTTTCCAGGATGAAGAGGAAGCATTGGTGAGCACCCTCTGGGTTCGTCCATTTAACCAATTACAGATCCACCTAATGGTAGTTTTGCCTAGCCCACATTGGACTAGTTTGTTTGCCAGAAGGTCATGGGGGACCTTGTCAAAGGCCTTATTGAAATCCAGGTACGCTACATCCACGGCATTCCCTGCATGTTCCTTTACTATATGCATGAGGTTGTTAAATGAGATAAACATATATGGAAGGTTATATATTTATAAGTAAGTATAATGGCTACACTGTTGGAATCAATATTTAATTCCCTTCTCAATCACAGTACTCACAGGGCAATCCTGGGTCTATTACATTTTCTTGTATATCTTCTTCTCATGGGTCATGCAAGGATAAAATGAATATGGGGGGTGACACCACGCAAGTTACCCTGAACTACTTGGGAGAAAGTGTCGGACACAAATATTTTAAGATGTAACATTTACCATAATATAACAGAACATTTCCTGTGTGTCGGTAACTTTTGGTTACAATCTTTTGCTCTCAAATCCTTAAGAATTCTTCCAATTGCTGAGTTTTGGAGACTTTTGAGTTTTTGGACTGACACCTTCCAAAACCACATACACAACTGCCATTTAAGTTTGAGTTTTTGGAGACTTTTGAGGTTTTGGAGAGACACCTTCCAAAGCTAGATGCCACCGTCTAAGTTTGCTGAGATTTGCAGCCACCATCTAAGTTTGAGTATTAAGTTTTGGAGACTTTTGAGGTTTTGGAGTGACATCTTCTAAAGCCAGATACACAACCCACCATGTAAATTGGAATCCTAAGTTTTGGAGACTTTAGAGTTTTTGGACTGACACTTTTCAAAGCCCAGATGCACACCACTATCTTAGGGTTGAAGCCTGTCACTGTCCCTCCACAATATGGGAACATAGATCCATCCCAAGAGGAAAAGACTATCGTTGGGGTTCCCATCACATTTGATGAATTTTTGGGGGGACTTTGCCAGAAGAGGAAGAAGAAGAGAGTCCAACTTGTAGATTGTGAAGTCTGGGGAAAGTTTGGCAAATGGAGAAAAATCCCTTTGTGTATCTAATGAATTGCAAAGCCTTCGACAATGAATTGCAAAGAGTTCTTTGTTTATGTGTTTCAATAAAAGTTGGTTTAGAGCATCCTAAAAAAAAAAAAGAATTCTTCCAATTGCAATTTTTTTTGTGGAAAAAAACAGTTCTAGACAATTACTTTTATTATTATTATTATTATTATTATTAAATATTCTATTGTCTGTCTATCTATCTATCTATCTATCTATCTATCTATCTATCTATCTATCTATCTATCTATCTATCTCAAACCTGTATCCCAGTCCTGTAATCATGTATTTGAAAGTAAGGTACACCAAATCAACAGGCTTACTTCAAATGATATACGTTCATATTGAATTTTTGTTTTACAGTACAGTTTATCTCCCCCACCTTAGTTAAATAAAAAAATATAGTGTTTATATTATTATTGCAAACTACCAAGTTTGCAAAATATGTGGGTTTTTTATCTGTTTGTTTGTTTTGTTCTGTTAGAAATGTAATACAATGGTATGGTTGCTGATGACACGATAAATAAAATAAAATAAATATATTATTATTTACTTTTAGAGCATTATCCATGTATGTAAAGCTTTACAGTGAGATGTGAAAAGGTGGGTCTCGGTCCTAAGGATCGTACAGTGTAACTACAGTGAGAAAGAGAGGAAAAGGAGGAGAGGAAGCAGAGGTGAATATGAATTGGAGCCAAGACAAATGTACACACATTATAGATTTGTCCAATGTATACATGTTAACAATCAGAAAAGTTCAAAACTTACTGGAAAGAGGTATTTGTCCGACTTTTTTGCGTGGAGTTTTTCTGCAAAGGACATTTCCAGCTGCTTTTCACTTCACTTTCTTCCAGGGTCCAAAGGCAGGGGAAACTCTGTGCGTGTTAAGGGACTCTTTGCCTCCTCCCACCAGCCATTACATCATTCCCTTCTTTTAGGTAACATCCAGGATTTCCACCCACCACCCTCCCTTTTCCCCCTCTTCTTCTTGCAGTATTTCATATTGTGCTTTCTGAATGAAATGACTTTTTCATTGAGCTTGCATGAACCCGGCATGCTAGATTTACATTCAGCATAATGTATCAGGTTTCCTTTCCCAGACATGAGATCACAACTGAAGACTTTTCCAGCACGCTTTCGTGTTTTGTGCTGCTAATTTAATTCAGTTTCCATTAAGGAGATTGAGCTGTAACTTTATCAAGGCTCCATTGTCTGTTGCATAAGACAAAATTGTTCTAAACGTGAAAGCATAGGATGGGGAGATTCGGCTCTGGTATTCATTGCAGGTGTTTAAAGAAAACCAAGGAAAAAGTCGAAGCTTTTCTACATTAGGGAAATTGGTAGATCCAAAATTGTTTACCAGGAGAAACAGCCAAAAAGATGTATAAGAATATGTGGAAATTGCATATATTGATTTTGAGGATCAACAGCTTCAGTTTAGATCAGAGGTCCTCAAACTTTTTGAACAGAGGGCCAGGTGACAGTCTATCAAACTGTTGGAGGGCCGGATTATAATTTGAAAAAAAA